TTCTCTGTTTTGGCTCTTCCTGGTTTAGGTATCAGCACCATATTTGTGTCATAAAAAGAATTTGGTAGGATTCCTTCTTCACCTATTTTCTTAAAAAGTTAATATAGTGTTGGAATTAGTTTTTCTTTAAATGTTTGGTAGAATTCACTTGTAAATCCATCTGGCCCTGGAGATTTTTTCTTAGGGAGTTCATTGATGACTTGTTCAATTTCTTTTTCTGAAATGGGGTTATTTAAGTATTTTAATTCCTCTTCCGTTAATCTGGGCAATTTATATTTTTGTAAATATTCATCTGTTTCATTTAGATTGTCACATTTACTGCCATAGAGTTTTTGGAATTGGAATTTGAGGCGATGGAATTTGGAAATTGGAAATTGAGGTGATGCCAATCAATTGGGGAATGGCTGAACAAATTGTGGTATATGAATGTAATGGAATGCTACTGTGCTGTAAGAAATGATGAGGATTTCAGAAAAACCTGGAAAGACTTAGATGAACCGATACTGAGCAAAGTGAGCAGAACCAGGAGAACTTTGTACACAGTAACAGCAACATTGTGCGATGATAACTTTGATTGACATGGTTCTTCTCAACAGTACAGTGATCTAAGACAATTCCAAAAGATTCAGGATGGAAAATACTATCCACATCCAGAGAAAGAACTAGGGAGTCTGAATGCAGATCAAAGCATACTATTTTCACCTTTTGTTGTTGTTGTTGTTGTTTTTCTCTTGGTTTTTATATTTTGTTTTGATTCTTTGTTCACAACACAACTCCACTAGCAATGCACTGGTGCCTGTCTTCCCACTGTGCCTTCAACATTGACTATTGGCTATTTCCATCTTTTTTTATCTTTTCTAATTTGTTGCAGATGAGATAAAATCTTGGTATTGTTTTGGTTTGCATTACTTTTGTTATTTAGTTTTGTCAGACATCCTTTCATGTGGTTTGATAGTTTTATCAATAATTTTCAATTCTTCTTTTGTGAATTCTTTGTTCACGTCCTTTGACCGCTTATCTTTTGGGGATGGCTTTTGGGCTTACTTCTCATTCAACAGTGAGGAAACTCAGGCTCATAGATATGCCAGGTAGAAGCAAAACTAAAACTTAAATCCAGATCTTCTGGCTTCTAGAGCAGCTTTCCTTCCAGTGTATCATGTTACCTGTCATTCAGTAATTGAGTCAGGACAATGCACTTTTGGTGATTGTGCTGTTTTTCTTGGCATCTGCCAAACCACTGCCATTTTGCTTAGGCTTTTACATCTTGTGGAGAACCTGCATGTTTGACAGAAGTAACGTTACTCTGGCTGTCACTCTTCCACTGTCTAGTCCATAGTGGATCTTCATTAGCAATTCTTCTGAATTTATTAGTAAAGTAGCAAACTCATTGACTGGACATTTTTTCTTAGGGTTTTGGTTAGCTTGAAGCTAACTAGAACCATAGCTGCTTTTGTCTCATGCCTGTCTAGTGCTTGTGTAGGACTTGGAAAGAGATTTTTTTTTTTTTTTTTGGTGAGGGTGCAGGATGGGGGGGGAATTTTTTAATCAGTCTATAAACATTTATTAAGCACCTACTATGTGTTAGGCGTTGTGCTAGCAATACAAAAAGAGGCAAAAGATAAATCTTGTCCTCAAGGAGCTTCCAGTCTAATGGGAGAGACAATATGCAATAAATACATACTAAGCAAGCTACATACTGGTTAAATAGGAGATAATTAATAGAGGGAAGACACTAGAATTAAGAAGGATTTGGGAAGGCTTCCTGTAGAAGGTGGGATTTTAATTGGGCTTAAAGGAAGCCAGGGAGGTCAGTAGTCAAAGTAGAAGAGGGAGAGCATTCCAGGCATGGGAGACATCCAGAGAAGATGCCCAGAGCTGAGAGATGGAGTGAGTTGTTCATGGACAACCAGGAGACCAGTTTCATTGGATAGAAGAGTACATGTTGGGGAGTAAGGTGTAGGGTAAGGATTGGAAAGGTAGGAGGGACTAAGTTACAAAGGGCTTTGAATGCCAAACAGCATTTTTTATTTGCTTCTGGAGGCAGCAGGAAGCCTCGGGATTTTATTGAGTTGGGGGCGTGATGTGATTAGACCTGCACTTCAGTAAATTCACTTTAGTGGCTGAATGGAGAATAGGTTGCAGTGGGGAGAGACTTGAGGCAGACAGACCCTCCCCTCCCCCCTCCCCTCCCCATCCCCTCAGCTGGTTGATGCAATAATCAAAGCAAGAGGAAATGAGGGTCTGGTGGCAAAGATGTTGCAAAGGTGAAATTGACAGACCTTGTCAATAGCTTGGATATGGAGGGTAAGAGATTTGGAGGAGACTGGGATGACTCCTAGGTTGTAAGCCTGAGAGATTGGGAGGATGGTATTGCCCTGTACAATCATAAGGGAGGTTGGAGTGTTGTTGTTGTTGTTCAGTTGTTTTTCAGTTATGTCTGACTCTTTTCGAACCTATTTGGGGTTTTCTTGACAAAGATACTGGAGTGGTGTGCCATTTCCTTCTCCAGCTCATTTTACAGATGAAGAAACTGAAGCAAAGGGGATTAAAGTGACTTGCCCAGAGTCACACAGCTAGTAAGTGTCAGAAGCTGGATTTGAACTCATGAAGATGAGTCTTCCTGATTCCAAGTCCAGTGTTCTATCTACTGTGCCACCTAACTGCCACAGGTTGGGGTTGGGGGAGGATTTAGGGCAAAAAACAATTAATTTGTTTTTTAACATACCAAATTTCAGATGTTTACCAGACATCCAGTTCAAAATGTTTGAAAGGCAATTGGAGATGCAAGATTAGAGGTCAGCAGAGTTTGGGGAAGGATATTAGATTTGAGAATCATCAACTTAGAGATAATAATTAAATCCATAGGATATGATGTGACCATCAAGTGAAGTAGTAGAGAGGGAGAAGAGAAGAGGGACCAGAACAGAATCCTGAGGGTTACCTATTAGAGGGAATCTCTAAGACCTTCTGGAATCTGGAAGAAGATCCAGCAAAGGAGGCAGAAAGAGAGCAGTCAGATAGGTAGGAAGAGAGCCATGAGAGAGTGGTGTCCTGAAAACCTAGAGAGAAGAGAGTAATCAAGGAGGAGCAAGTGATCAACAGTGTTAAAGGCTTCAGAGAGCTCAAAGAGAATGAGGATTGAGAAAAGTCTGTGGATTTGGCAACTAAGAGATGATCAGTAACTCTTAAATTCTCTTCCCTCGTCACTTTAGCATAGTTGCAACTTGTCCTTCAAGATAACAGTGAAAAACCTCTAATTTTTAAAGTAGGCATGTGGTTTTCCTTGGTCCCTTTGATGATATTTTTAATGTTTTCAGTGACTTTAAATAATTCTAAAATGCTAGTCAGCAAATTTAAAATGTGTGCTAGTATGTTCTAAGACCAAAAGATCAAATGGGAATGGATGCCATCCTTACTTAGAATGAATATGTACTTTTTGTAGCATTAGTATTTATTTCTTAAATATGTATGTATTTACATATATATTCTTAAATATATGTATCTTAAATAGACATCAGAACATTAAGATAGTAATCCTTTTTCTCTCAGATAACAAGGAGCTAAGTTTTTTGAGTTACCATACAGAATACCTTTAGTATTTTCCAGACCAAGATAAAGTTTCTTTCATTTACTTGAGAAGCATGTTATTTACATAATCCATTCAGTTTATAGGTACTTTTTTGCTTGAGGCTTATATTAAGAATTCCTTTTATATGTATTTTTATTCAAAAGTAAGTTTCATTCTCAGAAGGAATGAGAATAAACATCAGGGGATTAATTGCCTGGTAGGAAGAGAGAGACTCATCAGGTAGACTTCTAGATTGTACATTTTTCCCCTACTGAGAAAATGATGAAAAAGCAGTGTCAACATATAAAATCATTTGATTTCCTTTTAAGTCTTAAAAATCTCCAAAAAATTGAGCATGATAAAGTAATATGTCTTTTCAATATTTTCTGTTGAACTAAAGAAATTTTTTTGTGTGTTATGTGACCCACAGGCTTTTGTAACTTTAGAAATCATTTGGGGAATGTTTGATGAATGGGTTAAATGGGTAAGCCACTAAGATTTATACCCTTTGCAGATTAATGATCCAGCTCATTAACTTCTTTGTTTATACTTTTACACTTCAGTGATCTAAATAAAGTGATATGAATATGGTTCACTTGTCCTTTTATCCATCTTCCTTTTGTGGCCTGAATGCTCATGTAGATAGTTGTCTATTTATTATATTTGGCTTCCATTGTTTATTCAATAAGAACAAAACGATGACTGGGGCAACAGTTATAAAGGCACAGTGTTTTATGTAAAAGACTAAGAGCAGAGCTAAGCAGTTAAGAATGTTTTTGTAATGATAAAATAGTGACTTTTTCACACTGGCATTTTAATTTTGTCTTGAAGTTACTTTCAGTTGACCACTAAAATCATGCATGTCCATCAGACCTTGTTATGGAATTAAGTTGGTACTTATAGAAGAGGTTGTTGTTATTGTTGTGTTTTGTTTTGTTTTTTTACCAGTTTATCAAGTCACATTTGTATCCTGAAAGCTTGAATATAGGGGAAAGCTTTGGTGTTTTATTCAGAAACAAACTTTGTATATTTTGCAATTGTGATTCAAACCTTTCCAGAAAAATAGCTCGTACAACAAGTTTTTAATTGAAGTGACTTATCTGGTAATTAACTGTGAATCTTTTAGACATGCTTCCTTCTTACCAGTTTTTCAGGAGTTTTTGAGTCTTTTGTGTTTCTCAGACAAAATGAAATATCTTCAGGTTGAATGTCTATTAAAAACATATGGGAGAGGCATTTATTTTGATGTTTTAAAAAAGTAAATTTTTGCATCGTCATGTATTTTCTTCATTTTAATAGCATACCCAGATGATTTCCTCTGTCTTATTTATTGATCAGTCTGGTTAAATTAAAAAAATTGCATTTTATTACCTAGATCTAGCTATAGGTAAGACACTAGTGCCTGTTTTTGACCATTTTCCTTTTTTTCCAGCTCACCAGCGACTGGAGCCAGTGACTCTGCCAGGGATTGTGGCATTTATCCTTAGTCTCTTATGTGGGGCTCTGAATTTAATTCGAGGCTTTCATGCTATAGAAAGTCTCCTACAGGTACTGTGTCATTTTTAGAACTTTATAGAAAATAATTACTTCTTCTCATTATAGTCTGTTGTTAGATTCTAAGTAACTACTAGGAGAATGTACTATGCTAGACAATAGATTAAAACTAACAATTTCTGATCTCAAGGAGTTTCTTGTCTAATGGAATATGTATGGCATGTACACAAATAGATGTGATAAAAAGTAGGATGTGATAAAAGAAACTTGAAGGGGGGAGAAAGGAGAAGAGGAACAGTCACTGATAAGCTGTGCCAGAAACAGAGCTCTAATAAACAAGAGCAACATAGCTTTAAATTACATTGCTACCTAAGACTTGCCCTACTATCCTCACACAGATATTGGTACTTGGGTTGACATGGAGAAGGCTGATAGAAGAAAAGAAACTCTGGAGACTCAGAGAAGCATGCCCATCATCTAGGAATACTTTAGGGAGGGTCTTGACCCCATTTGCATTTTTTTTATTGATTTTCCAAACAAGATCTGGCCAACTGTAATTCAACTCCTTCACAAACCACACTTGAATATATATATATATATATATATATATGAATTGAGTGTGGGATTTTGCTTTCATCTTTTAATAGTTTTAATAGTTTGGAGGTAATATTTATTACATAAGTACTTAGAGCAAAAGTTCTTCAGCTTTTTAGTATGTCATGGCACCCTTTGTCAGTCTGGTGGAACCTTCAGACTCTTTCTTAGAATATTGTTTTTAAATGTATAAAATAAAAAAAGGATTGTAAAGGAAACCAGTTGTATTGAAATAGTTATCAAAATATTTATTTTGTTTTCAACATTTATTTCCACAAGATTTTGAGTTCCAAATTTTCACCCCATCTCACCCCTCCACTCACCCCAAGATGGCATGCATTCTGAATACCCCTTCCCCTAGTCTGCCTCCCTTCTATCTCTTCCCCCCCGCCTCTTATCCCCTTCCCCTTCAATTTTACTGTAGGGCAGGATGGATTTCTGTATCCCATTTCCTGTCCCAGTTGCATGTGAAAACATTTTTTTTAAACATGTGTTTTTAAGACTTTGGGTTCCAAATTTTCTCCCTTCCTCCCTCCCCACCCACCCTCATTGATAAGTCAAGCAACTAAATATGCGTTATATATGTGCAGTTATGCAAAACACTTCCATTGTAGACATGCTGTGAAAAAGTAACTCTGTTTCCCTTAATCCTATCCCACCCCCCCATTTATTCTATTCTTTCTTTTGACCCTGACCCTCCTCAGAAGTACTTGCTTCTGATTACCCCCTTTCCTAATCTGCCCTCCTCTCTATCATCCCCCTACTCCCTTGTCCCCCCCCCCCATTTTCCTGTAGGGTAAGACAGATTTCCATACCCAATTGAGTGTGTATGTTATTCCGTCCTTAGGTCAAATTCTATGAGAATAAGATTCACTCATTCCCTCTCACCTTCCCGTTTCCCCTCCAATGTAAGCGTTTTGTTTTGTTTTGTTTTGTTTTGTTTTTTGTGAGATAATTTACCCTGTTCTACCTCTTCCTTTCTCCTTCTCCTAGTATAATCCTCTTTTACCCCTTAATTTTATTCTCCAGATACGACCCGTTCATTTTCAACTCACCCTGTGCTCCCTATCTATCTATATCTATATAGATATACATGTAATTTTTTCCCTTCCAACTACCTTAATATTGACAAAGGTCTCATGAGTTACAAATATCATCTTTCCATGCAGGAATGTAAACAGTTCAACCATAATAAGCCTCTTATGATTTTCTCCTTCCTGTTTACCTCTTCATGTTCCACTTGAGTCTTATATTTGAAAATCAGATTTTCTATTCAGCTCTGGTCTTTTCATCAAGAATGCTTGAAAGTCCTCTGTTTCACTGAATGACCAATTTTTCCCCTGCAGGATTATACTCAGTTTTGCTGGGTAGGTGATTCTTGGTTGTAATCTTATCTTCTTTGTCCTCCAGAATATTATATTCCATGCTCTGCGGTCCCTTAATGTAGAAGCAGCTAAATCTTGTGTTATCCTGATTGTGTTTCCACAATACTTGAATTGTTTCTTTCTGGCTGCTTGTAATATTTTCTCCTTGACCTGGGAACTTCGGAATTTGGCTACAATATTCCAAGAACTTTTCCTTTGGGGATCTCTTTCAGGTAGTGATCGGTGGATTTTTTCAATTTCTATTTTGACCTCTGGTTCTAAAATATCAGGGCAGTTTTCCTGGATGATTTCTTGAAAGATGATGTCTAGGCTCTTTTTTTGATCATGGCTTTCAGATAGTCCAATAATTTTTAAATTCTCTCTCCTGGATCTATTTTCCAGGTCACTTGTTTTTCCAATGAGATATTTCACATTGTTTTCTAATTTTTCATCCTTTTGGATTTGTTTTACAGTGTCTTGATTTCTCATAAAGTCACTAGCTTCCAATTGCTCTATTCTAGTTTTTAAGAAAGTATTTTTTTCAGTAATCTTTTGGACTTCCTTTACAATTTGGCCAATTTTGCTTTTTAGGGCATTCTTCTCCTCATTGGCTTTTTGGACCTCTTTTGCCATTTGGGTTAGGCTATTTTTTAAGGTGTTATTTTCTTCAGTATTTTTTTGGGTCTCCTTTAGCAAGCTGTTGACTTGTTTTTCATGATTTTCTTGCAAAACTCTCAGTTTTTCCTCTACTTCTCTTGCTTCTCAAAATCCCTTTTGAGCTCTTCCAAGGCCTGGGACTGATTCATATTCTTCTTGGATGCTTTGGATTTAGGAGCTTTGGCTTTGTTGTCTTCTTCTGGTTGTATGTTTTGATCTTCTTTGTCACCAAAGTAAGATGATATAGTCTGACTCTTTTTGCGCTGCTTACTCATGATCCTGGCAAATTACTTGAGTTTTAAACTCTTTGTTAAGGTAAAAGTCTGTTTCCATTGTGGAGAATGTACTGTCCCAAGCTTCAGGGGTTTGTACAGCTGTTTTCAGAGATACTTCTAGCGACCTGTAAATTTTCAATTCTTCCAAGGTGCTATGATAAGGGGTGAGGTGTTTCCTCTCCACCGCCACAACAAGCTTCACCACACCAGCATTCCTCCTCACCCCAGGACCGCCTCTCGGAACTGTGACCCAGATCCAAGCACCAGTAAAGCAAGAGATTCCTGCCTCAGCACTGGCAAAGAGATCCCTGTAATCCCCCTTTGATCAGCCACTTGATTCCCCCTCAGTTTGTGGGCCAGAAGCTCAGGAAACAGCTGTGGCCCCGGGTTGACTGAGACTTAGCTCCTTCTCTCACCGCAGTCACAGACTTTTCCCACTGACCTTCTAAATTGTCTTTGGTATTTGTGGGTTGAGAAGTCTGGAAACTGCCATGGCTGCCTGCGATTCAACCCTCTGAGGCCTGCTCCAGGGTCACTGTGGCCTACACACCCACGCCGCATTGCGCTTTTCTCCCCGCCCGGTGTGATATACCTTTCTGATCAACCATCCAGACTGTCTTTGGCTGGAAATTTGTTTCACTCTGTCTTTTTGTGGGTTCTGCTGCTTTAGAATTTGTTTAGAGCCATTTTTTATAGGTATTTGGAAGGGTTTGGGGGGAGAGCTCAAACAAGTCACTGCTTTCCTTCTACCATCTTGGCTCCGCCCCCAGTTATCAAAATATTTAAAGACAAGTTAACAGACCACTAGGTTAAGAACCTCTCATTTAAGAGGGTCTTTGCTGCTAGATATTGGAGAATGAGCAAGACAAGCATTTTCAGTCAGTCATAAAGCATTTATTAAATGTCGGCTATGTGCCAGCCACTATGCAAAATGCAAGAGAGCCTGATAATCTGCCCAACCCTTGGAATTAGCTCCACTAACCTAGGATAAAACTTAGGAGATGGCATTTAAGCCTAAGGGGCAGAAGGTATTTGAGTGACAGATGCATTGAGGAATTGTGGGAGATAAGGCTGGAAAGATGGGCCAGGAATATAGTGTCAGGGGCTTTCAAGGAGTTTGAGCTTAGGAGTCATTAGGAAGATATTTGGAGTTTTTCATCAGGGGAGCAAGGTAATTGGAGCTATAATTTAGGAATAATAATCTGTCACTGGTTTTTAGGGTAAGAGAAACTGAAAGTAGTGAGACTAGTTAGTTTATCGCTATAGACCAAGTAAGAGTTAAGGAAGATGTGAACAAGAGTCATAGCAGTGGGAGTGAAAAATAAAGAGAAATTCCAAGGACTTGAAAGATGATTGGATGAGGGTGAAATCAAAGGTATAAGTTTTCCAATAATAGTCAATAAACTTTAAGTACCTACTATTTGCAGGCACTGTGCTAAGCTCTGGGGATACAAATACAAGAAAAAGAAAGACAGTCCCTGGCCTCTAGGAACTTACATTGTAATGGGGCAAGACAACATAGAAAAGAAAGCTGAAAAGTCAGGGTAGAGAATGGATCCTGGCTTGGGCATTGTAGAGAACTTAATGAAGTCCACAGTGAGTGTAGCTAAGGAGAAACTGAGGAGGTGTCTGAGAAGATGGCAGTCCTGTTCTCTCTCCTCAAATGGAAGAGTTTATAGATCTATACCCTCCAATGAAGAGGACAGAGGGATATCTAGCCTGGATAGAGCTTCTCCCTTAGGAAGAATTCAGATGATGAATTGAGTGGAGTCAGGGGAGGAGGGACAAGGAAAAAAATGATTAGTTTATCAGTCAACATTTATTAAACACTTATGTGGGCCAGGTGCTGGCATGTGGTTTGGTTTAGGTACAACCAGGACATCAAAGTGGAAATGCCCAGTGGGCGGTTGGCAAATAGGAAGCTAGAGAGAGATTTGGGGCTTTCATTAAAACCCGTAAGAGAATACAAGTAGCATGAGATTTGGACCAACTCAAATACTAAGACATTTTGCTGTTATAATATCCCTGAGTCATTCTGGAATGGTGGAGATATTTAGAAGAAGGGGAGGGGAGTAGGTCTCAAAATGAAATTTTAAAATCTCTGATTCAGCCTATATCAGATTGCATGCTATCTTGGGGGGGGTAGGAAAGGGAGGGAGAGAAAACTTAAAACTCAAAATCTTATGGAAGTGAATATTGAAGACTAAAAATAAATTAATTATTTTTTTAAAAAAATTCTGATTCATTGGCCACCTAAAATTTTGTAATACTTGGCCTAAGAATAATGATAGCTCTTACCAGGTTCCTTAGAGTCATAGTTTTAGATTTAATTAAAAATTATTGGTATTATATGTGTGGTTTTTTGAAAGGCAGAAATATGTAAGCCATTAGTTAAAAGTTGAACATATTTTAAGGTCACATTCTGTCTGAAATTTCTGTTCAGAAAAGTGATTGTCCTATTTATCTTTTAGGCTGTAGCTTGCTGGGGGTATTTTTGAGGTTGAGCATACTGCGTAGCTCACAAGACATTTGTGTGTACTTAAGTATTTGAACATTCAGCATGAAGGTTTTTTTTTTAGGATTGTTAGGCAAGGATTGATGGAAAGATGTAGTACTAATAGTGTTTGGTTTTCTGAGGTAAAATAGGGAAGAAGAGAGGATAAACATGCTAGGATTCGGGTTTTTTTTACAATTGATAGACACAGTTTTTGTAATTTACAATTTGTTTCTAGAGGGTATATACAATATGCGTTAACTAGTCAGATGAGTTAGTCATTTTTAAATACTTCTCTGAATTTATAAATATGAATAAATTTATTATAAACCAACACATTATGGAAATGGATGTGATTTTTCCAGATTGAGTTTATAAATGTTATCTTTTTTCTTCAAGAAATACTGTTGAGAAAATACATTAGTTGGATTCCAGGATAGAAATGATCTGCTTGCCTCATTTTTTACTATAAGAAAATGATTTGCTATGATTACAAAAAATATCACCCAGAAATCAGGAGCACCTAATATTGCTGTCACTCTTAGTGTTTCACTATCCATCAGAGAAATGTTACTGAATTTAAAATTTCAAAGGAAGTCCTTACACCCTTAAGGACAGGCTTAACCGAAAGAGGTCTTTGATTTCTTTAGCACCAAACATCAGTCCTGTAGAGTGTTTTCTTCTAGATATATAAGAAACCTTGTCTTATGCTTAGCATAAGCTTAGCAGAGCTTCTGTTTGATATGTATTTTGGCCAGTGACTGCCCAGGTCATAGGCCTGATGACTCACAAAAGTGAACTTTCTCTTGCATCTGTACAGCCTTTCTTTTTTTCATTTTAGATCGTCTGTCCTGTATAGCTGTGTGTATCTCCATAGTATGCTCTTCCCCTACCAACATTTTCTGTGTTCCCTCTATGCTGTATTTGTTTGTTGGTCTTGCAAAATGTGTGAGTAGAAATATAGAGTTTTGAAAAGCATAATTCAACATTTGTTATTCATTCATTTATTTAACATGTATTACAAACAGCTCCATGCTAGGATCTTCAGGAGTGCAAAGCAAGTATAAGACACAATCCTTAGGTAATAAGTGATCTAATGGGGGAGAGAAGATTATACACATGATAAAGAAATTAATTAATAATATAACAGTATATTAATATTATATTATATATGTCTTACATAAGACAACATATATGATTAATGCCAAAAAACATCATGTAGACCAAGGAGTCTTAAAAAAGGTCCATTAACTTGTTTTTTAAAAAATATTTTTGTAAGGGGCAGCTAGGTGGCACAGTGGATAGAGCATCTGCCCTGGATTCAGGAGGACCTGAGTTCAAATCCGGCCTCAGACACATAACACTTACTAGCTGTGTGACCCTGGGCAAATCACTTAACTCCATTGCCTAGCCAAAAAAAAAAATTTTTTTTGTAATCCTTTGTGTTTTGTAATCTTGTGTGTTTTATTTAATGTATTTGAAAACATTATTCTGAGAAGGAATCCATAGGCTTTATCAGACTGCCGTAGAGGTCCATGACATAAAAAGGCTAAGAACCTCAGACATAGACAATAAAAATAAAACATTTGCTGGAGAAAGTACCTCATCTTGACTTTAAGTATGACTAAGATATTTAAGGGGATAAGAAAGGTAGAACTATTTTTAAAATAATGAAAGAGACAAATCTAATGAATGTGGCCCAAATACAGAGATTTCTTAGCCTCAGCAGGGTCCTAGAGGACTGTACAGAGACTAGAGACTTAATTTAGTTACTGGCTGGGGAAGTACCTTGAGTGCATCCTTAGGCCATTGCGATTCTTAGTCTTTTCTTGTTCCTGACAAGGTCATTGGGAGCAGGTCCTCTGAAGCACTCCATAGAAGTGGAACAGGAGCTAACTCCCTGCTTGTATGCAGCCTGTGAGCTGTGTCAAAAGATTTTACTTTGATCTGGCATACAGTATAACCCCTTTCCTGGTTACCTCAAAGACTACAGTGACCAAATCTCACTGGAAAATTTTCATGCCCTTTACTCAGACCAATCTGAAATCCAGGGTGGTTTATGCAGGCCGCAGGACCTGCCTTATCCTCAAGTCTGGGGAAAACTTCACGGTGATAACAGTGAAGGAAGGGGCTTCTAGGTCTTCCCTCCTGTCTCCATCTGGTTTGTGATCACTGTATCATATCTGTAAAACGTCCTTGACTTTTACCAGTACCAGACTGAAATCCATGCAGGACGTTTGGAACCTCAAACCCAGCTGTAGATGAGTCATCTGAACCTTCAGAGCATGCCCATGCCTTCTCCATACTCGAACCCCCTCTTGAGCAACGCCTGCTAGCTGTTCCACATCTCTCTTCCCTCTTGTGATTTAACTTCTTGAGAAGTCTATCTACACCTGGTGCCTCCAATTTCTTCTCTCTTTTTCTCTTTCCTTTTCCCTCTCCCTCTGTAGTCTGGCTTCTGACCTCATCATTAAACTGAAACTGCTCTCCATCCACTGGCTACCTTGCCTTCCTTCACATCCCTGCTAAATCCTACATTTTACAGACAGCCTTTTCTGATCCCCCTTAATTCCAGTGTCTTTCCTCCATTGATTATTTCTATTTTATCTTGTATATAACTTGTCTTATGATAGATGTTTGCATGTTGATTCATATGTTAGACTGTAAACTCTTTGAGGGCAGAGACTGTCTTACCTTTCTCTTTATACTCAGCACCAAGCACATAATAGGTGTTTTATAAAAATGATTGTTGACTTACTAAAGTGGAGTGGTTTGGGGGGAGGGTTAGGATCAAATTTGACCATTTTGTGACTCAAGATTATCATTCTGTCAGATGAAGAGAGGTGGCATGGTACAATGGAAACAGCTCTGGTTTTTGGACATGAGTTCAAATCTTGTTTCTGATATCACCTATGTGATTTTGGCCATATCATTTAACCTGGGTGGGTTTCAGTTTCTTCGTCTCTAAAATGAATGATCTGTAAGATGATCTGTGAGATACCTTTTAGATCCCTGCTAGGGTACTGTGAAAATAGGGGTACTTAATAGATCCTACTTATCCAAGGAGCCTCTGTGAAGCTGAGAAGAGGCTTCAGGGAAATTTATCAGAGAAATCCTCTCTCTGCTTTCAATAGAGAACTGCCTCAAATCAGCCTTATTTCTAAAGCCCATCAATAAATGATATTTCAAACTCCTTATACTTTTCAGGCCATTTCATGAAGACATAGTCATCTTAGACACTTGTATGTTTTTGAAAATTTTCAGTATAATTTCCCTGAAGCCACGAAAAAGCAATATTTGATGGTCCTGACTAGGAGAAAGGTGGGCTTTATGCTCAGATTTGTAGGAGACATTAAAAGAAGCTATGATGGCAAATTGATAAAGACATTTGAGAGGAATATTCCAAAAGCAAGGAGACGTTTTTTCAGTCTCGTCATCAGTGTGACATTGACACTTTTGATAAATTATCTAAACAGAAAAAGAGAAACCTCTTTCTTTCTTTGTTCATTTAGATGGTTGCCATTTTAGAATGTCAGGCCTATACTCTCTACCTCATAAGGTTGGGGTTTTTTGTTTTGTTTTTTCGCATTCCCTAGTGGTTACTAAGTATCTGTTTTAATAGTTCTATTTTGCTGAGTTACTTTATTGAACAAATTGATGAAATGTTCACCTGCTAGTAAAATTTGCCAATATTTATTTTCCATGAGTGGTGACCCTACAAACATGGTATATCGGCTGATAAAAGAGGTGAATTTCTTTTTTTAAGCACAGATAGAGGTCAAAATATTGTGGAAATTTTTTTAATTCTCTTAGGTAAGATAAAATTAGTGCAGAGGTATGGGTGCATAGTAATGGTTTCATTTAGCTTTACCCTTTGACTTTATAGTACATTACCTTGTTTTCAATTTGCATTTTAAAATTTGAGACTGGATTGTGTAAGGTGTTTGAGACTGGACTGTGTAGGGTCCTCACCAGTTAGGAAATTTTTTGACTTCTCAAAACCTTACTGTACAGTTACTGACCCTTGACCTTTTAGCATTTTTATTTAACATTATTATTTTAGCATTTCTCAGTATTTATACTTTTATTATTCATTGACTGAGAAAATACATAACTGAAACCTACCAGGAATTCAGTAATGCTTTAAAGTAAATTAATATTTTATTAATCACAACAAAATCTATAAAAATTTAAAAATAGTAAAGCATATATGTGCAAAATATTATCTGTTCTATCTGGAGAAGATATGTGAATATGTATACATATTTCTTATTTGTTTTACTAAATCACTTAATGAAGTGCAAGAGTCTCGGGCCCCCAGGGAATTATTGTTGGGGTTCTTATTGTCTCTACTGCTTATATAGTACATTTTCCCCAACTACCTTATAAGCTTCCAGAGACCAAGGATCAGGCCCTATACTTTTTTCCTATTTCAACTTTTACTTTTAATGATGTCTAGGCTTCATTTTATAAAGACTTTCTCTTGTGTGCATATTGTTATCATTTAACATTATATTCCCCCAGAAAGTTTTTTGTTGGATTAAGCCACTTTTCTTCTCCTTTCCTCTCCACCTGAAAAAGAAGTGACTTTTTGTTTTGTTTTCACAGAATGATGGTGAGGATTTCAGTTATGTCATTGCATTTTTCCTTGGAACAGCCGCTTGTCTTTACCAGGTAGGTTCTGATTCTTTTTGTTGTTGTTGTTTTTTGTTTTTTGTTTTTGCTAGGCAATGGGGTTAAGTGACTTGCCCAGGGTCACACAGATAGTAAGTGTCCAGTGTCTGAGGCTGGATTTTAACTCAAGTCCTCCAGACTCCAAGGCCGGTGCTCTATCCACTGCACCACCTAGCTATTCCCTGATTCATTTTTTAAGGAGCAGCTCCCTCCTAATATTATTAATCAGTAAGCATTTATTAAATACCTGATATGTGCCAAGCACTGCAATATATACTAGGGATACAAAGAAAAAAATTAAATCCCTGCTGTGAAGGGCTTTATTCTCTTGGAGGGAGATAAGATATACACATGTAAGTACACGCAGAATAAGTATTTGCAATATAAATACAACATAATTTTCTGGTGAAGGTACCAGCAAAAAGACCTTATGCAGAAGATAGTGTTTGAACTAGTTTTGAAGGAAACTAGGGATTTTAAGAAACAGATAGGAGAGCATGTATTCCAGGCACAGGGAGCAGGCTGTGCAGAGGTACAGAAATAAGAACGAAAAGGCTCAGAGATTTAAGATGCACTGTTGTGTTTGAGTAGTGGCAAGAAGGCCAGTTTGTTTGGACTGTAGAATGCATGAAGCTATATAATGTATAATGTGGTTGGAAAGGTTAGTTGGAGCCAAGTTGGAAAGGATTTCAAATTCCAGTCAGAGAAATTTGTATTTTTTCCTCGGGTTAATAGGACCTATTAGAATCTATTTAGCATATAAGTGATATAGATTGCGTTCTTTAGGAAAATCATAGCTGTATAGAAGAGATGACTTGAGTTAAGGAGACTAATTAGTGGTCTAATGCATTAGTCCAGGGAAGAAGTGATGAGGGCCTAAGCTAGTCTAGAGATTATGGATGGAAAAAAAAGGGATATGTGAGAGATATCATGGAGTTAGAATTGATGAAGCAATGCTTGAAACTATGTATGAAACTGTTTATATGTGGGCTGAAGGAGAGTGAGAAGTCAAGGTTTACACTGTAGTTGTGAACCTGGTTGACTGGAAGGATAGTCAGACTCTTAACAGATATTAGGAAGTTTAGAAATGAGATTTTGGGGAAAAATAACAAGTCCTGTTTTTGACATTGAGTTTGAGATGCCTGTGGAACAACCACTTTGAAATTTCCAATGGGGAATTAATAATGTAGGACCTCAGGAAAGAGACTAGGACTGAATATATAGATCTGGAAGTCATCTGCATAGAGATGATAATTAAACCCATGGGGACTGATAAAGTCACTAAGAAAGAGAGCATAGGGAGAAGAAAGAGGGTTTGGGGAGTCCTGAGGAGAGAAGAAAAGGTTGAAATAGGGGCTTTGGGAAGTGTGATAGAGACTTGATAAGGGAGAAGTAAAAAGGATTCCCTTGCTATTCAGTTGAGATTTTTATTGAGTCATTTCAGTCGTGCCCAACTCTTCGTGACTCTATTTGGTGTTTTCTTGGCAGAGATACTAGAGTGGTTTGCCATTTCCTTCTCTAGCTCATTTTATAGGTGAGGAAACTGAGGCAAACAGGGCTAAGTGACTTGCCCAGGGTCACACAGCTAGTAAGTGTCTGAGGCCGGATTTGAACTCAGAAAGATGAGTCTTCTGAGTTCAAGTTGAGTACTGTATCCATTGTGCCACCTAACTGCCCCTGGTTGAGATTAAATGACACAACTTTGTACTGGACCCCAGTCAGTATAGTTAAGCAACTTTCTTCAGCAACATGTGAGTGGGAGTGGAGGATGTGGACAGTGTAAGTAACTTAGATTGGAGTTTGATAAAGTGTGAGCAACAGAAGGACAAGGGGACAAGAAAGATGGGATTAGAAGACAGTGTAATGTTGATCTTATTAACTATAGGGTTGAGATTGGGAGGGAAGAAAAGTTAAACCAGATCGGGGGAATGGTCTGGGAGAGGACTAAGGGGAAATCACTGTGAGGATGAAGACTAAGATTGAGGAATGAGGCATGGGGGGGGGGAGATGGAATGTTAGAAGGTTTTAGGAAGATAAAGGAATTTCCAAATTTTTGCTGTGAAAATAGAGCACAGGTGAGGGCAAGGACAAAGGTATTAGGAGCATCAGTTTTATACCATTAAGAAAAAGTACAGTGTTTTGTACATTTTAGAAGAATGAGAATAACTTCTACATACCTATTCTTTATTTTAGGGGATTATATTTTCACTTGGTTGTCTTTGTGACCCTTATCTGTACTTTGAGTACTTTTATATACAAGAAGTGTATATAGAGGAAGCCTTCTTCCTGTATACATGTCAGAGTACCTTTAAAAACTACTTGAAAAGGTTGTCTATTGGCCTTTAGGGTAGCCTACAGTTCATGTTGTTATTGTTGAGTCGTTTCAGTCATGTCTGACTCTGTGACCCCATTTGAAGATTCTTGGCACAGATGCTGGCGTGGTTTGCCATTTCCTTCTCCAGCTCATTTTACCGATGAGGAAACTGAGGCAAAGAGGGTTAAATAACTTTCCCAGGGTCACACAGCTAGTAAGTTTGAAGCTGGATTTGAACTCAGGAAGATGAATCTTCCTCACTCTAGGCCCTGTACTCTATCCTCTGCACCCCCTCGCTGCTCCAACAGCTCATTATAAGGGATCAGTCAATTTTTGATTGAGTGGTGACTTTGCCTCTCATTTGCAGTTAGTAAGAATGCTGTTACTCCTTCAGAAATCTCATTCTCCCTCATATCTTCTTCATAGTCTGGAGTTGTAAAAATATTCCTTCCTGCTTTAAACAATTCATTTCAGCTGATCTAGAGCCTGTTTAGAGCTGGACATTACCAAGAAATTTCTCTGGCTTTAGAATGAAATGGATCAATTAAGTGCTTTAAGATAAATTTAGCTAGAACCTAATCCCTGCAATGGGTTCTAGATAAACTTTTATATTAGATTCTTCAAACACAGTTCATTTAAGTACACACACACACACAATTTCCTTCTGATACTGATTTGATACATGATTTGTGTTATGGTTAGTCTTTAAATGCAAAGTAAACTTCGAGTTGCATATTATTTAACTTAGATAAGGACTTTAGATATGATTAGAATACAAATTCCTCATTTTAAATATGAGTAAACTGAGGTCCAGAGAGGTAAAAGGATTTGCCGGATATTAGCAGTTGAGCTGGAATAAAATCATCCTTATAGGTTCTCTTAGGTCAGCTCTGAAAACATAACAAACCCACACGTAAGTAAATCCAACCAAACAGAGCCTAGGCCTGTTTGTCGTGATGGTGTCAGATCACAGTACCACAGATTTAGAGCTGGAAAGAACATTGGAAGTTATCTAGTGTAACACCTTTCTTTTATAGAGACGAAGACAGAAGCCAAGAGAGGTTAATTGATTTGCTCAATGACACATAAATAGTAGGTGACAGAAACACAATTTGAACTCCTTTCCTAGTTCCTTCCCTCCCCCTGTCTCCATGCCTTTAGTAGACATTCATTTATTAAGCTTCTACTATATGTACTGTGCTGGTTGATAAAGGGATACAAAGATAAATGACTGACTTCCCTGTCCTCAAGGGGATTAAAGTCTAATAGAATCTTGTCTTTGGTTATCCTCATGATAACGTGTGTTATATACCTGTATTTACATATTAATTTCTTGGCAAATATGAAAGTGATTTACTCATGACAGTGTATTCATTCTACAACATAAAGTCCTATACAATCCTGATTTGCCAGTATCAGGGAATTTATAGTGGGATCACCAAATTCCCACCTCACTGATTAAAAAACAAATCCCACAGCTCATCCAACTTGCCTACGTATTGTTTATAAAATATGCCATACACATTCCTACCTTAATCACTTTGCTTGCACCATTTCCCCTAGCTGGAGTTCTATCCCTTATCACTCTTATCTAAGTCCTACCCTTTCCTTTAGGTCTTCCTTAATCCCTGCCTCACCTAGGGAAACCTTTCCGGTGATTACACCTCCTTCTAAACTCCTGAAATGATTACTGCTTGGGCTAGTCATTTGTCACTTAGAATATTTTTTGTTTTATTTATATTTATCTTTCTGAGTAAATATCTTTTAATCTAAACTCCTGGAGGGTAAGGATAATATTTAATGCTTTTCTGTATTCCTAGCATATTACTCCCAATAGATATGTCCATAAATAAACATTTATGATAGTGATTCAATTCAGTAAACATTTGCTAAGTGCCTACTATGTCGGAGATACAAAAAGAGGCAAAAGACAGTCCCTACCCTCAACTAATTTACAATCTAGTTAGGGGAGGCAACATGCAAACAAATATGTACAAACAAGCTGCATACAGGATAAATAGGAAATCCGTTAAAAAGATAAAGCACTGGAATTAAGAGGGGTTAGGGGAGGTTTGCTGTGGAAGGTGGGATTTTAGTTAGGACTGAAAGGAAGCCAGAAAGGTCAGTAGTTGGAGTAGAAGAAGGAGAGTGTAACAGGCATGAGGGACAGCCAAGATGCCCAGAGCTACAAGAGGGAGTGTCATGTTGGTGGAACAGCCTGGAAGCCAGCATCACTTAAGGAGTAAGGTATAAGAAGACTAGAAAGGTAGGAGGGAACTAGGTTATAAAAACCTTTGAACATCAAACAGAGGATTTTGTATTTGCTCCTAGAGGGAATGGGAAATCAAATTTTCAAGATGTTTGGATACCTCTGTATCATGGATAACTCCGTATCTCTAGTATACTAGTTTTCTCCTTTGTGGAAAAAGACATCCAGTCTTTTGTCAAAAACAAAAACAAAAAACAAAAATAATAATTTATCTAATTACATAATTACATATTACATATAAAGACAATTTTTAGCATTCATTTTTTTAAAATTTTGAGTTCCAAATTTTCACCCTTTCTCCCTCACCTCCTCCCTCCCTGAGACAGTAAACAATTTGATGTAGGTTATTATGTCTGTTCGATCATGCAAAACACATTACCATATTAGTCATATTGTAAAAGAAGACACAGACCTAAA